TGCTCAGATATTTGCCAAGGCAGCCATGAAAGCTTTGAAGTTCAGGATCCGTAATCATACTTGGTAAAACAGAAAAAAGAAGAAGGAAAAAGCCATCATGGGAAAGTTCTATAACAGAGCAAGCCATATATATACATACCGGTTTCTTATTTCAAGAGTTTCGATCTTGAATCAGGCGATATCTCATCACCAGAGTTTAAAAGTTTTAAGAGCTTTCTACTCTCTTTTTGATTAGTAACAGTGTAAATCCGCAGTTTGATCGTATGTATGTTCTTAACTATGAGTGTCTGAGATTCTGTAAAATCAGTCTTTTTCTGTATCTTTTTGGATGATAGTACTCTGAAACCTGGTTTGAAGAGATATGAAGAAGCAAGTAAATTTAGATTTTGTTCTATTCTTGACAAGTTTTCAAGTCTCCTTCTTACTACTCTCTTCCCATTCTTTCAGAATGTCATAAACTGAAAGTGAATCAGATTCACTGGATTCATCATCATCGTCAATCTCAAGTTCTTCTAGACCCAAAGTCTCGAGTTCTGTCTCTGTAAATTCCCAAGCTTCACCATTAGTATCATTACCAGCTTCCATTGTTGTATCATCAATGGCTAACAATGGTTGTGTTGAAGAATGGTTGTTATGTTCCTCCGGTTTCTCGCTGTTGGTTGTTACATCAATGGCTAACAATGGTTGTGTTGAAGAAGAAGACCCACACAGAGACTTCAATGACTTTGAAAGGTTTGAGACCGTTGGTTCACTTGCATAATCACAGTCAAGGAGATAATCAGCAAGCTTCTGTAGATTCTCCAGATTAAGCCAATCTTGATTCTCTTCGAAAAGGTCAGTCCATTGTTCTTCACTGATCTGGAAAGAAGCGAGAGCCACGGTGTTAATCAGTGTGATAGCTCTTTGGTAATCGCCTTTAGATGTCGCGTGACACAACATTTCGGTGAAAAACAATGGATGAGGAATTTCTCCATCTTCAAGAACTGCATCGAAGGCATGCTCTATAAGACCCCACTGCATTAACAAATAAGATCACACAGCTCAGGGTTCCATAGAGAAAACCTAATACATTAACTTTTAGGAGAATTCTTTACCTTCCCGGCTCTAGATGCTTCTATAAGCATTGCTGCATGTTTTGTTTGATCAATTTTACACCCAGAAAGAATCATTGTCTGATACACATGCTCAAAGTATTCCCACTGGAGTGATCTAGCTGAAGCTTCAAGCATAAAGCTGTATGTATACTCATTTGGGACCATATGAGGTTCTTTTTCTTTGACTATCTCTTCAAACAATTCTTTAGCTTCTGAAAACATATCATTCCTACCATAAACTCTAAGCATCGTGTTCACAGTTCCTATATTTGGGTCACATTTATCTTTCATATACTGGAATATAGCCATGCAATCGTCAACATGACCACCGTTCAATGAAGCCGCTATGAGTCCTGTGAAGGTAATCTCGAGGGGCTTGCAGTTTTCAAGTCTTTTCATCCTCCCCACCTGCATTAATGAAGAAAGTTAATTTCGCAGGTTTCTCTCAGAAGCAAGAAAGGGTAAAGTATGAGGGAACTTGCCTCGAGCATTGCATCACGCCAACGCCCGTTGTTGCAGAGACAGCATGCTAATTCATAGTAAACTGTACCTGTTCCTATAACTCCCTTTTGTTCCATATCTCTGACTGCTTCAACAGCTTCCTCGATTTTGCCTTCTCTCCAGAGAGCTCGGACAAGAACTGAGAATCAATCACACGCTATAAGAATCATATCACCTTACAAATACCAAATAGATAAAACCTAAACACAGAGAGAACCAACAACTACCTTTGTACGTAATTGCTTTTGGAGCTTCGCCACTGCTTTTCATCTTCCTAAAAAAATCGTAAACACGATCATACTTTCCTGACTCCAGCATAACCTGTCACAAACATATTTTTAAGACTGCTCTGAATACATATTTGAGGGTACCCACTAAAACTACACCGCATTTCGTCTGTGTTTCGAAACAAGAACACTACCTCCATTGCAAGTCCATATGTAGCTCCATTAGGTCTCAGACCATTTTTTCTTAACTCTATAAATACCCATGAAACAGCCTTCCATTGTTGCGACGGAACACAAGCGTTCAGAATCTGGGAACCAGTTAAGCCAAGAATGGATCATAGTAATTAGATACAGTCATTCACTGCAAATAGATATTGAATAATTTTCACAACACGGAAATGCTCACTTACAGCATTATACACCACCACGTCGGGTTCAAGCACAGGATCCCAGTTCTTTTGACGCACATTCTTAAGTAATTTAGTAGGTTTCTGCCTCATACGCTCAATTACTTTCAGCAACTCCTTCAAAAAACCCACTTGCCCAAGCGTCACAGCAATACTGTGGTATGCCGCCATATCAGGATACAACTGGCGATCACCCTAAAGTGACTAAGGAATGAGAGTTAATCCAAAAACTGCAACCAAAATGCTATTGCATGATGTTCATCTGCATCAACCTTATCTTGAATGCTCTAATCAGAAGTTACTTACAAGCATCAAATTGAATATCTGCAGAGCTTCCTGGGGCCTCCTTGCAAACCCAAGAACGGACAAAAGTTTGGTGTAAACAAACCTGCCGATATCAGTGTTATAATCAAAACACAAGTTCTATTAATAGTTCACACCATGAAATCAATGAAGAAAGGAACTAAATTGCCAAGAAACAGTACCTGCTCCTAAGATGTTTACGCTTCTTATCCGAATACACCCAACGAACAACAGCTAAAGCTTGTTTCCAGCTCTGTTTACGTCCCAATCGATCAACAATCTTAAGCATTTGCTCTTCAGTGAACTGAAGCCCTGACTGATTCATCATCCTCACAAACTTCCAATGCTTCTCAGTGATTTCTCTACCACTCAATCTAATCATAAACCAAAACATTCGTTTAACCTTTTCTAAAGTTTTGAACATTTTCCAGAAATGTAAAGGAAAAGAGAAAAAAACCTGTCAACGAGAACTCTCACAGCTTCTCCTTCGTTACGCCACCGCTTCGCAGGATCGAATTCTCTGTCTTCGTTTCGAGCCATCTCGTAATCTTCCACATCAACGTCGTCATCGAGAACCCAACGAAGATCCTGGTCGAGTATCTTCTTCAATTCCTTTAGATTCTCTTTCCTCAGTTTACCACCACTAACTTCTTCTCTCCGGACACCACTAACGAGCTCCTTCAATCTCACTCTCTCGATTCCTTCCCATGGATTCCCCACCAACAAACCACCGTCAATCCTTCCTCCATCGCCGCTCTTTTTCCCCGATATTGTCCTCGTGAATTGCTTGTATTCCTGCTTTAGGGTTTGGAATCGAGCTTCTTCCTCCATAGATTGTTTCTCCGCCTCCGTGTATACCTCCGATTCGGACTCGATTTGGCGCTTGGTTTTCCGATTGTGTTTTTGAATTTCCTTCTTTCGGAGATTGCTTAGGATTTTAGGGGTTGGGTCAACACCGTACTTCAGCAGCCGCCGTTTAATCTTCTCCATATCTGGTTCAAATTCCGGCGTCACTCTCGCCGGCGATTGGGAAAATCTCACCACCGAGGAATCCATTGTTTGCGACTTGCGAAGATAGTGCAAGTGAGAACGTTAAAGCCTATAGTTTTACTTTATCCTATCGCTTTTTTAAAACTCCGTTTTTGGCCCGAAGTTTCTTAAAATTACGAAATACACCCCATATGTTTTTGTTCTTTTAACAATATGTAACGAACTAGTAAAATTGAATATGTGACCCTGAAGGAAGGTGAATCTCATTTGCTTAAACAACAAGAAGAAAACCAATCAAATCTAATATACAGAGAAC